CATCTTTTACTCAAGTATTGTATGAGTCTTTCCGCGTTCTTTTGTTTGAACATTTATGTAAGTTTTCATCTTTGCGTTCTTTCTTGCTTAAGGGTTTTGCACAAGTTTTCTTTGCGTCTTTTTTGTTTAAGTATTTGCGCAAGTTTGCTTTTTGCGTCTTTTTTGTTTAGGTATTTGCGCAAGTTTGTTTTATGCGTCTTTTTGTGCAGGGCTTTGGGTGTATTTTTCCCCGAAGGAATTTGGATTCCAAACATAACTTCTTCCGAAATCAACCCTTTAACGTGAGGTTTTTCATAAGAGAGGGCCTATCTACGGTGCTCTTGAAGAGGACGTCTCCTGTTCATTACGGCACTAGCATTTGATATACTTGTTTAACTTTAAAATAACAAAATCAATTCACGTTTAGACAAGAAGCAATATGGAAATAAAAGGAATTTACTTTATTTCTTCTATTTTCAATAGTTAAGCTAAAAAGAAATTGCCATTTCTTGTGGCTAACTTGTACAACTTTTCTCTACGGGGTTGATCATGCAGTCCCAATGCCGATGATACAACTATGTTTTTGGTTTTCATATTCCGGTCGACGTGACAGTGATTGTTGCCGTATCCTCATATCATCCCCTCAGTGTTCGAATGCGAAGAATGCGAATTTGAACACTGGAAGTTTTGCACCTTCGAGAACTCCACTAATGAATTGCTAGATAATCTTCAGTTCGATAACAAACTTTACTTCCCCGTAAGAATTGATGCCATCGAGCAAAAGACTATCTAACAACCCCCAAGTGGTTTACACTTGTGAACGGTCGAGTAACCTTTGTTCGATAGCAAACTTAACTTCCCAGTAGGAATTTCGCTATCGAGCGAAAGATTAACTAACTGTCCATGTGGTTCTTCGCTTGTGTGCATGTTATTAGAAGGTCTTATTTTTGCTATTGAAACTTTTCTTCGTATAATGTTTTCCGTTTCTGCCTCGTTAAAATCCTTGCCCGAAAAATTTGATTCGGACAAAAAGTGCTAAAATGAAGAATCTATGTTAAATTTTACTAATTTTGGCCAAGATCATGTTTTAGAGCTCAAGTCGAAACATATGGACTTAATTTCAAGAAGCCAAGATTCTTTCCTTCTTAAAATAGGATTCGTTTATTCCTTTTGGATTAAGGATTTTCCTTTTAGTGGGATTCTAGTTTCTTTTCCTTGTAGAATAGGGATTTTACTTTCCTTGTCTTTAGATATTTTATTTCCTTATTAGAATAGGAATTTTAGTCGTCAAAGAAGAGACCCTAGGCCTATATAAAAGGTTGTCATGCCTTGTAGAGGAGGAATTTACGTTTTGGAGGCTTGCCCTAGTTTTACAATAGAGTGTTTTTCTCTTCTTTTTTTTTGTCTTTTTTATCCTTGTTTTTGGTTCCAAGTAAGGTAGTGATAGTCTTTATCTTGTTTTCAATTGTGCGTGGTGTTTCTTTATCACGAAAACCAAGTGGTGACTTTAAGAACTTGTTTAGTTTTTGATCTTTCAAGAGCACGTTTCTTGATCTAAATTCGTTCTTTTGATATCATAGAATCATAACTTTTATTGAATAGTGCAACTTCAATATTTACTTGTTTTGAACGAGTAAATAGTTTTTCTTATAGTTCAGATCGTCATTTTCACTTCGTTTTTTAATCATCTGATTTCGAGTTCTAAAACTTGAGATACATTGTTTCTTGAAATTGACCCACAAACCACGTTTTTGTTTCAGGATCTTGATCCTGGTCGTTTGGTTCTTTATTAACTCAAAAAATCAAATAAAAAACTAGACGAAGGGAAAAAGAGTGCAGTACATACTTTCAGTACCGGTGATGTTCTTCAGCAATAACATCTCTTGAGGTGCGCCGCATTCCAGTTGCTTGGCAACTTTTCTCAATCCTGATTCTCCAACTCATATGAACCTTTCCAGTGACAGCTGAAACTCTATAGGGGCCTTCCCATGTTGGACCTAGCTTCCCAGCGTTGAGTTCCCGAGTGTTCTGAGTTACTTTCCTTAGGACCAAGTCTCCCACTTTGAAATAATGGAGGTTAGCTCTCCGATTGTAATATCTTTCTATTCTCTGCTTTTGGGCAGCCATTCTTATATGCTCCAAGTCCCTGCGCTCATCGAGTAGCTCCAAATTGACTAACATTGCTTTATTGTTTGTCTCTTCATTTACATGGAAATATCTCAAGGTAGGGTTCCCCTACTTCCATCGAGATTAAGGCTTCTGCTCCGTATACAAGGGAGAAAGGAGTTTCTCCTGTGCTTGATTTGGCCGTTGTTCGGTATGCCCATAGCACTCTAGGCAGTTCATCAGGCCATTTACCATTAGTCATTTCCAACCTCTTCTTAAGATTGTGCATAATCACTTTGTTCGTTGATTCTGCTTGACCATTTGCGCTCGGATGATAGGGTGAAGATGTGATTCTTTTGATTTTCAAGTCTTCAAGGAACTTTGTGATCTTTGCACCTATAAACTGTGGCCCGTTATCTAGGCTATCTCTTTTGGTATTCCAAATATGCAAATTATGTTCTCCCACAAGAAATCCACCACTTCAGGTTCGCCTATCTTCTGATAAAAAACCTGCTTCAACCCATTTAAAAAAATTGTCAGTCAAAATCAAAAGAAATCTTACCTTACCAGGGGCCGAGGGCAGTGGTCCGACGAATCCATTCCCCACTTCATGAACGACCATGGAGATAGAACTGAGTGCAATGGTTCTGTTGGTTGATGTACCAGTAGTGCGTAACGCTGACACTTATTGCATTTTTGTACGAAAGCTTTGGCATCTTATTCCATTCAGGGCCAATAGTATGTTTCCCTTACCAATTTTTATACCAAGGAGTCGGCGCCCGAATGAATTCCACATATCCCTTTGTGGACTTCTTGCATAACATAGTTAGCTTCGGAAGCTCCCAACGGGCCAGCGGGCCTTGGAAAGATTTTCGGTACAGTTGGCCTGAATAGATTCTGCAAGTACACAAATTTAATGACCCTGTTACTCAATTTTAACTTTCACTGGTATCAGAGCATTTAAAGTGTGTTCTATTGAGATGAATACACTATTGATTTTAACTAGTGTCAATGTTGTTAACAGAGAGTTTCAATATGTTTGCAAATTGTACGATAATCAGTCCTTAATGTACTAAAAGATTCAAATTCTCTCATGCTTCAATTTTTTGGATAAAGAAAAGTAGGAGTTCTGCAGTAGTCCTTTATACATAACTCATAAGGGTCTAAAATGTATAAAGTTAACGGCTTGTGAAACTGATTAGATACACCCCATAATTAGTCTGTTACTGTATTTAATAATGTATTCGATACTGGTTAGTAATTTATACTGCTTTGATTGTTGACAAGTCTCTTTCTGATTTGAAATTGGGTTGCTTTCATGGAGTTTGGTTTTAGCCTTATAACTTGTTCAAAGTTGGCAACGGTTTAAGATGGAAGAGGAATGAGTTTCACATATTATGACTTACGGGATTTGCTCCATTGCACAATATTATGGCTTTATGTTATGTAAAAGAAAAAAAAGGAAAACATGTTGAGAAACAAAGCTAAAGGCAGACATGAATATTGTACATAAATTTTTCTTGAAATTCTTTGGTCAATTAAGACCGAACGAGATATTATTCGTAATATCTTTTGTGCTTTAGCTTTCAATTTAAAGAACACTATTTGCAGATATCTAAATTGAAGCTATTTATTTCTCTGGACTTTGATCATGTGATTACAAGAGATTATGGTCTTATTAGAACTCGCTGTCTCCTTAATATAGAAAAGTAGTTTAGCCTTAACCTCTTACATTGAATATTTCTACGAGATATTGTGACATATGTTGTCACATCGAATGGTTGTAGCCATTCTTATTGTTTCCTTGGTCCTATTTCAGATATTGCTGAACAGGGACAAGTTCGAATTACTCCAAGTGGGAGTTCTCGAAGTCAAGGAAGGGACAACGTAGAAGGATACGTCGTCGCAGGACTTATTTCTATAATGATTCAGACTCGGAGACTGAAGTCATCAGCAATGTCCCAAGGGCGAGGCAAAATGAGTTAAAGGATCGAAGGACTGAACGAGGGAAGGAGAAAAGAAATTCAGGGAGTTTAAGGAATTTAAAATGGGCCCTGATGCTTCCATTCCTGAACATGTACACCTTTTTCAGTTAAAAAGAGCTGAATTGACTAATTACATAGAAATTACTTATTGGGAAGCATTAGCTATTTTAGCAAACTCTCTTCGAGAGCCTTGGGGTGAAATTTTAATGAGATTTATCATGATATTTGGCCTAGTGCACCTTTTAGCGTATATGTGCAAGAGTTAGTGTTGGATTGGTATATGTATGTCCTAGCAAACATGTAAATTGTTATTATGTGTTTCTATCTTTGTGAAATTTAAATTATGTTATTTGTCTCACCAGTTACATACATTGCTTATTATATATTTTTTATAATGGATTGAGACTTGAAATAAAGTACATACTAAGAAATGATTTAATATTAATTAAAATATTTAGATATAGATGAAGGATGAAAACGTAGTGATCTTTCGATTCTATACTAAATATAGAATTAATATTAAAATTAATTTACTTGAGTGTATTATCATATGCATAAATTGACTGTAACACTGCCCAACACATGAGGGATCTGGAAACTTACAATGTTTGAAAAAAGAAAGATTCCACTGCACGTGGAATTATTGTAAGTTCAATTGCTGATGATCTCATCCACGAATGTGAGCAATATCCTACTGCTCAAGCCATGTGGGCACATTTAAGAGAGGCATACGGGGGTACAACTGTGACTCGCCTTCGACAACTGACAATCAAGTTTGACACGTACAAAAAGCGTCATGATCACAGTATCAAGCAACATCTAAGGGTGATGTCAAATATGATTGCTCAACTCAAAAGTGCTGGTCATGTTCTCTCTGATGAGCAGTAGGTTCAGGTAGTGATTCTGTCTCTTCCCAATAATTGGGAACATATGAAGGTTAACTTGACCCACAATGATAGCACCAAAACTTTTGATGATGTTGCCCGTCATGTGGAGCTTGAAAACGAGCGGCTTGGTGCTGCTAAAGCTGTACCTAATGCCTTTGTGGCAGAATCAAGTGTGACAAAGAGATCAAGCTTCAAGCGCAAGAGAAACTGGAAAAATGACAGAAAGGGTACAGAGACCGGAGAAGGATCCTCCAAAAAAAAGAAACAAACCAAATTCTAAGAAAGGAAAACGGTTCTACAAGAAGAAAGACAAGAGTAAGATGAAGTGCTACAATTGCCATGTTCCAGGGCGTTTTGCTCGTGAGTGCACTGAGCCGAAAAGGTAGCATTTCAAAATGCATCTCTTAGTGCTATATATGTTTCTTATCCTGTGTGGATTGTAGACTCAGGGGCCACCAACCATGTGAGCCATGATAGAGAAGCGTTTATAGAGTTTCGTCGAGTTCCACCTATATCAAAGCATGTATATGTGGGAAATAATGCAAAGCTTGAAGTCAAAGGGATAGGCACTTGCAGAATGGACATGCGTGGTGGCCGATCATTGATGTTGCATGACGTCCTATATGTTCCAGAGATTCGACGAAACTTAGTCTCTGTGTCTATTCTTCTAGATTTAGATTTCAATTTGAACTTTAGTGGCAATGGTCTTAGAATTACTCAAGACAATGTTTTTTTATGGTTTTGGACATCATTATGATGGTTTTATTGTGTTAGATTGTAATCCTTCTACGTATAACTATTATGTTGCCCGTTGTGTTATGGCATGTTATTCTAGTAATAATGATGTTGATGTTATTACATGGCAAGCAAGATTAGGTCACATAGGGCAGGATCGAATGAATAGATTGGCTAAGGAAGGACATCTAGGTTCTTTCTCTAAAATTGAAATGCCAACTTGTGAAAATTGTCTTGCCGGAAGATTACACGTAAACCATTTGGAAAGGCTAAGAGAGCCGATTTTCCATTGCAATTAATCCATNGTGGAACCAATAAGAAGATGACATATGTCTAAAGCATTAAATGGAAGTGATAATTGAAGCGTCACCTCTGTCAGAACATTAATGGTGACAAAAATTCTCCTTTAATGAATTCCACTTCCCAAATATTCAAATTGACGAATAAATGGAAAGTGGGGGGACTATCTGTATTGGGGGAAAATTGTATTTATATATATATGGTGACGTGTCATGACACGTAGACTGATCAAACAGTCAAAGAATTAAGGTGGTTAACAGATACGAGCAACAACAGACACGAGCAACAACAGATACGAGCAAGTTAAATGAAGAAGGCACGAGCAGTCATACAAATAATTCAACGCTTGTACCTATTCAAGACATTCAAGGGTCAAAGATCGAGAAGAGACTAAAAAAATAAATCTGACAGCAAAAAAGAGCCCAGATACAGCATTTAATGAGTATTAAAAACTAGAAACGTTAGAGAACATGTATTTAATGTATATGATTGCATAACGTAATATTTAAGGTCATTAATTACCCATAATTGTCTTATTATGACAAATGAAAAATCTGTATTCCCAAAACAGCTATAAAAGGGAAAGTTACAAACAATTGTGGGGACACGAAAAATACTACTGGAATATACTTTGTTTTATTTGCTTTCTGATTATATTATTCAAAATCTCTTTCTTATATACTTTTCCGATTATCAGTAACCCGAGTTCTTCTAAATTCAAGCTTTGACCTAAAATTTAATTTTTGGTTAAACATATATATTTTTAAAAATCAGAAGGAAGTAGTTATAAGCTTTGTTAAGCAACGGGAACAAACACGGCAGCATCAACCAAAATTCATTAAGTTTTAAATTTTACCGTTAATAATCATTGTAAAAAATGGTAAAAATATCGAGAGACAGAGAAAGAGAAACATCAATTTGATTCCGTGAACGAGAGACTTGGCGGCAGAAAGAGATGAAGAGGAGGCAACAGAGGAAGACAACGGCAGCGTAATAGTGGGGGAAATGACACTGTTTAGTCATTCTCACAATAATAATTAAGAAAATATATATATATTCTATATGTTATATACAGAAATTATATAATTTTTATATACTATTTCGTCTATCGAATGTAAATAGTTTCTAGCAAAAAGTGAAAAAAAAACCCTAATATTAGCGAGAAATTGAGAGTAAGTGATGTTCGAATTTGGGTCTATCTATTTGCTGTTAATCCAGTAAAAATAGCACGGGTTAGCCAGGTTTCGGACTAGTCATTCAAAAATAGGCAGTGATTGCAAGGTCATTGAAATATAGCCACTATTTTGCTGCAACACGAAAAGTTCCAGCATAATATACTAGAGATCGGTGCACCTGTGTATGAACTTCCAGTATATTATGCTGGAACTCCAACACGAGAAAAGTTCCAGCATAATATACTGGAGATTGGAGCACCTATTTATGAATTTCTAGCATATTATGCTAGACCGGTATATTATACTAGAACTCCAGTATATTATGCTGGAAGTCCAGTATACTTATGCTGGAACTCCAATATAATATACTGGAATTCCAGTATATTATGCTGAAGTATTTTCTGGATTTTTAACAGTATTTTCGTTCAGCTTTATCATACATGAAAAGTGACTAAATTTCGATTACTTTTGAAACTGTGACTATTTTTGAATGACCACTTGTAAATTTGGCTATTTTTGAATTTCTCCCGTTAATCCAGCCCGCTATACTGAAACAAATCCAGTCCGTTAGGAGTTACGTGGTCTTGGGCCAAGATCCTTTCATTCAATTACGCTCCAAATATTTTTGGGAGATTTGCACAAATAGGATCATTTTAGGAGTGAAGTGCGCAAATAACCCTAAAAATGGATGGTCTTAAATTATTGACTCTGTTTGTCCCATAGACATAACTTTAAATTTAACAAGTGTTGCTTTTTGCTTGCATTATTGGCAACATTTTTTAATTTTGACCTTGAAGTTTTGTCATGGGGCAAACAGGGGTCAATAGTTATACAACAGCCCAAAAAGTGACATATTTCTGCAATTTTTGTCATTTAAAAGTGCTATTTAAATTTGGTTCCTGTTTAAAAGAAATTCTGTAAAAACAACCTCGAGTCATTAGTTTCACAAGCAGGTTATCAAAATTTTCCTAGCTATATCACTCTTCTTTCTTTAAAATTTAAATTCAACGTTAAATATTTTTTAAACAGGCACGCAATGAAATTTTTATTTGTGAGATTTAACGTTGCGTACAAACTTAAGACAGAGGGCGGCTAACTGATTGTAATTTATGCGATATACTAAAGTAGGCTTGCTGAATTTTGAAGATGAATGACTAGTGACAGAGATGGTTTATTGCTCAGATACTTTTTTATAATCAAATTTCATCACTGAACCCTCAAATTAATCCACTGATCGATCCTTTAGAAAGCAAAAGCACACACATAAGGTTTCCTTTCATCCAATAATCTAGTTTTTAGGGTCATAATAGTCGTAAATTACAATAAGCTTTTTTTATATTATGTATTAATGAAGATTAGAGATGCAATCCATTAACTGTAAATTCGCTTATATGATTTAGTTATATGTTGCAAAACTGAGAGGAATTAGAGAAGAAGAACAAATGAACAAAAATATGTATAAGCATTCTAACAATATTTTACAGTACGTGAACATTATTATAAACGCTTATTTAAAAATAAAACAAATATGAACCCTTGGAATCCATATATCCAACATTCCAATGTATCTCTATCTTCTTTTTTCATAGAGAAGACTTATGAAATGATCATAACATTTTGTACGTACAAATCTTAATTTACATCACGAAATTCTTCATAAACCTTAGAATCCAGATATCCAACATTTTCAAATGTTCTTTAACAAATAGTCATTAATATTAAATCCAACAGGGGTGAAAAGCTTTTCACGTTCCCACCTTACACGATCTGCTTTATACAAATATGGAAAATTCGTAACACTCCAAAAGCATTTTGTGCATCTTGATCTTACATTATAAGCCCAAAAAAAACCATGAGTACGTGGATTTATGTATAAATAACACCATCTCATAGGGAAAGCAATTTGAGTAATGTTAAATTTATAATTTGTACCTGGTTCAAGCCTTGACAATCTGTTATAGGTGTCAAAATCTCTACACATGTAATAGATTGGTTTGTTATTATCATTGGCTAAAGTTACCTCAATTTGGGGAAACATTGTCTCCACTAAATCGATGTCTTGTGTAGCATCTGAAAGAGGTAAAGAAAAGAAAATGATCAGAATTACAAGGATGAAAAGAGGACAAGAGTTTGTAATGGTATTGTTTTTCGCCATGATAATATTTTGTTTTCTTTGTCACGGCAATTGTTAGATTAATTGGCAGGAGAGATTATAAGGATTTGTGACTATGAAAATTGATGGCTTTTCTTTGTTTTCGATATTTGTGAAAGATTTTTTTAGAGGGGTGAGATCTTGGATGAAACACCTTTTTATTTTCTAATTCTCTTTATTTTTCCAAGTTCCTACTTGAATAAGAATTAAAGGTTGAAATTTAATTACCCAAAGCAAACTCCTAATCGTGGTTAGAATAACAAATACTTTCATTATTTGATGTAAAACAAATTAGCAATCCCACCATTCTAGGCAAAAGATTATGTAATCCGCATAAATATTTGTTAAATCAGCTCAAGGTCGAGCATCCATGGCGGTTTACAAGGGAGAGAAAGCGGAATATTCTAGAACAGTAGAGAGAGGAAAAATAGAGAAAGTGAAATCTGAAAATGATCACTAGAATTAGAATTATGACAAGTACTGTAGCATACATATATACATCAAAATGAATTTCTAATCTATGTCTAATCTAACCACTTTACAGATATAGCCACTATACAATTTACATAATTAACCACTAATAATCTCAATACCCCCCCTCAAGTTGGTGGTGTGGAAAACACTGCCAACTTGTGTAGAGCAGCTGAATGTCGAACTCCTGTCAGTGCCTTTGTTAGAACATCAGCTAGTTGATTTGTTGTTCCCACATGATGTAATGAGATCAGCCCTTCCTGTAGCTTATGTCGTACAAAGTGACAGTCAACTTCTATACGTTTAGTTCTCTCATGAAATACAGGGTTCCTGGNTTAGCACTTGCTCTAATCATGGCATCTAGGAAGTTAAGACCTTACTTTCAATGTCATCCCATTGTTGTAGTGACTGCATACCCCCTACGTAATATATTGCATAAACATGAATTGTCAGGGAGGTTAGCTAAATGGGCCATAGAGCTAAGTGAATATGAAATCACGTACTTACCTAGAACAACAATAAAATCACAGATATTAGCTGATTTCGTCGCTGACTTTAGCCAAGGGATGCAATTAGAAGCAGAAAAAAAAGTACAAGTATTTAATGGGGCTAATCCAGGAACATGGACCTTATTTACTGATGGCTCATCTAATGTAAAAGGTGCAGGATTAGGAATTGTTTTAGTACCACCTACAGGTGAAACTATTAGGCAAGCCATTAAATGTCATTCCATAACTAACAATGAAGCGGAGTATGAAGCTGTGATTGCAGGTTTAGAATTGGCACGAGAACTTGGTATTAATCAAGTAGTGATCAAAAGTGACTCACAGCTCGTGGTTAATCAAATGGTGGGGACTTACACGGCTAGGGAAGCAAGGATGCAGCAGTACTTGGAAAAGGTACGGGAACTGATAAAGCAATTCC